AGGCTCTTGTAAAATTGAGCAAAGGAGGTACTGGTATAGCCAGGGCCATTATCGGTCTTAAGCTGTTGAGGACATCCCAGAACTGAGAAGGCTGACAGCATATGGGCTATAATGTATTTAGCAGCTTCTCCAGTCTGGAGAGTGGCAAAAATGAAGCCACTATAAGTGTCAATAATGACATGTACATATTTTAGATTGCCAAACTCATTGAAATGGGTAACGTCCATTTGACATAAGGCATTAGGAATTAAACCTCTAGGGTTGACTCCTAGGTGTTGAACAGGTAAGTGGATAGCACAAGATGGGCAATTTTTTACAATTTGTCTGGCTTGCTCACTGGTAATTTTGTAGAGAAGGCGGAGGGTGTGAGCATTGAGGTGGTGTAGCTGATGGGCTTGTTGGGCCTCAGACACCTTGGAGTCCTGAGCCATAAAAACCTGTGCTCGTACAGCAACATCAGCCAAATGATTTCCTTGGGCAAGAGGCCCTGGGAGGTTGGAATGAGCACGCAGATGACCGATAAAGAACTTATGATGGTGAAGCCGTATGAAACATTGTAATTGTTTGAATAGATTTGCAGCTGGGGAAGCATGACATATAGTAGCAACAGTCTCTAATAATGGAACAGACTGAGCAAGGTAAGCACTGTCAGTATACAAATTAAATGGTTGGTTAGAGTAAGCAGCAAAGGCTGCAAGAATAGCTTCTAACTCTGCTAATTGTGCAGACGAGGTATCTGCCTGGAGGGTAGAAACATCGTCTTGAGATACATAAGCAGCCCTTCTGGAGGATGAGCCATCAGTGAATAACACCAGGGCACCTGGAAGGGGTTGCGAAGCTGTGACTTTAGGGAATATAAATGAGTGACGATTAGCAAAGTCAACTAGCTTATTTGGAGGGTAATGATTATCAATAGTCCCTGAAAAGGAAGCTAAGGCAATAGGCCACACTTCCGTACTCTGAAGTAGCCAATCTATTTGGTCTTTTGTAAAAGGTTGAATGATAATGTCTGCTTCTTTGCCAAAGTAACATTTTCCTTGCTTTCTACCCTGGATTATTAGGTCTGAGACAGCTTGGAAATAAGGCAAAAGTGTTCTTTTTGGAGAGACTGATAAATGGACCCACATGAGGGGAGCTTGTTGCCAGAACACTGCTGTGGGGCAAAGCTTTGTATTAAAAATGAGAAACTGTAAAGGCTCATTGTAGTCCATAAAGGAAACAGTTTTTTGAGCAATAGCCTCTTCTACTTTACTGAGCGCTCTCCTGGCATCAGGTGTAATCTCTCGGGGGGAAGTTGGATCTATGTCTCCCCGAGGCAGCGCATAAAGGGGCTGTAAATCATGTTTAGTTAGTTTTAAAAATGGTATGAGCCAATTAATGTCTCCCAATAGTTTTTGGAAGTCACGAAGTGTAAAGGAATAGAGAAAAAGCAATCTTTAAGATCTATGACAATTTTTAAAAAATCCCAAAGGAATGGCACTGGGTGAGGGGAGGCCTGGCTGTAGGGGCCCCATTAAGACCATTGTCTTATTTATCACCCTAAGGTCCTATAGCAGCCTCCACTTCCCTGACCTTTTCCGGATAACAAAGATAGGTGTGTTCCAAGGGGAATTACTAGGAACAATGTGGCCTGCATCTAACTGGTCCTGCACCAGCTGCTGTGCGGCTGCAAGCTTTTCAGAGTTAAAGTTGTTTCTAAAGGCTTATATGAATCCCCAATTTGCCATGGAGGCACAGGGAGTGGCGGGCTGCCATCCTGGGACCTGCTGATCATGTCAACAGGTGGAAGTGGTGGCAGATCACCATGTACGAGGACCTCTAACAGGCCATCATTCTCTGCATCTGAGAAATCAGAGGCTTCAGATTTTTCTGAGGATGGTTTTGAGGTAGATTTAACAGAGTTGCACAGGGCAGCCTCACCTAGTGTAACTGTCTCCTCAACCTGAGGGTCTGCATGCCTCTGGGCAAGCAGCTCAGAAATTAAATTCCAATATGTAAAGGTGGTCACAGGAACCTTTTTTGGACCGAAAACTCTATAATAATCTTTTAAAGCATCTCTTACTGTACTCCACCTCTTGGTATCTATAGAACCCTCTAGGGGGAACCAAGGGCAAACCTTATGAATAAACTGAAAATACTGCAATAATTCTTTTGTTCCAACCCTTATCTCTCTTGTCTTTCATGCCTTTATAAGGCCTCCGACGAACACTTCGTGTTCGCTCAATACTTGACCCATGTCTGGGAAGGGAAATGGGGTTGCCGTTCATTCACCGTGACTCGGGCAGGACGTCGGGTAGTCGTCTGCACAGGTCTCAGTACTTAATTTAATGTCCTGTTGCTTTAAGCTTTAATCCTTGATTCAGTTTACTCACTCCTCGGCCGAGGTCTCTGGTTCAATTTGCTTTCACTTTCAGTTTAAGCCGGCTGTCTCTCGAACGGCTCCCTCGTTAACTTCTCCATGCCAGGAGCTCCCACGCTGAGCGCCACTTGATCCGGCCTGCAGATCAACAAGTTCAGAACTCCTGGAGGGGAAACGGGGATTAAATAAAAGACATAGGGGAGACAAAAGGAGACGAAAGCAAGACGAAATAATCCGATCAAGCTTCCGGTTTATTTAGGAAATAATCACACCTTTTATAGGCTAAGGGCGGGAGCTGGGACAGGAAGAGGTTAAACAGATGAATACAACAGGGTTACCATCACATCCGGATACGTGACCTAAGCAGAAGAGGATTGTGGTTAATGTAGGCAAACGCAGTGCCCATAGGAGAGAGAGACATCGAGGCAGCAATGCCTGTCACTCGGCTCCCTACATGAAAGTTGTTTTCCTTTAGGACTTGGAATATCTCATTTGAAGATTTTCTTGACTTGAGGGTTTGTGCTGAGGAGTTTGGTATGACTCTGATGGGCTTTCCTTTGTAGGTGATTTGTTTCTTTTCTCTAACAGCTTTTAAGATTCTATTCTTAGATTGAATTTCTGGAATGTTGACTCTGATGTGCCTGGCTATAGAATTTTTGATCATAGCTAATTGGAGTTCTATGTGCCTCACTTATTTGTATGTCAGATTCTTTTTCTCTACCAGGAAAGTTTTCTGCCATGATGTCTGTGAATATTTTTTATGTGTGGTATCTCCTGCTTTTTCATTGACTGGTCTAGTTCAGTTACCCTTTGTCTCATCTAACAGCTGCTGGATTGATTTCTCACTCCTATCACACTCTCCCACTGGATGACTAAGTCCTCTGTACTCACTGCCAGCCAGTGCAGTCCCTCACACTTGCTGGTTTCCTCCACTGCTGCATCTCTTTGCAGAGGCCTCTGAGGTCATCAGTCATCACTGCCATCGTGACTGTGAGACCCCAGGTTTGAGCAGCTCCTCTCATCAGTGCATCCAGCTGGGGGAGAGGGCCACCAGGGACCACCTCTTCTCTGTTGAAGTTTTTCTTTTTACTCTCTCTGTGGGCTTTAGTTCACACTTCAGATTTTTTGTGAGTCCATGGAACCCTCTTCCTTCCTTCTTGTCTTCCTCACAATGCTGTATTCCAGCATCTGGATGGCAACTCTCAGAGAGGCTGTTTTCTCTGCTGCTTATGGCTCTGCCATCTTGGTCTCTCCATCCTCAACATATTCAAAATGAGAATTAATATTTCCTTCCCTCAGATTTACTCCCTTTTGCATAAGCACAGTGCTTAGTTTTTTAGCAAACTCTTTCTGTGTTGTGTTCTATTAAGCGCTCCTTGTGTATCACTTAATAAAATGGCCTTAGCAAATCTTTACGCTTATCTCCACTTAACAGGTAAATCATTTTTTTCTGCACACATATTTAATGCATACATACCATGTTTCTTTCCACTGAATTTCTGAAACTTCTGTTTGTCCTTTCTGTTGTGTACCTCTGTCTCTTAAGATTCTGTCTGGAAGCTTTCCAAATAAGCTCCTGTAGTAGTTACTTTTCTTGTTGCTGATACAAAATATCACTCACCCAAAGTTAAAGGGGTAAAAGTTTATTTAGTTTACAGTTTAATTTACAGATGTATCAGTCCATAATGAATTGGCTGCAAAGCAGGGTGGCACATGGCAGAGGGGCTATAGTCCACGGCAGTGGAAGACAGTGAAAGCTAAGTGGCAGTCCCTTATAGTGTACCCAAAATTCTACTGGGATTAGAGCTGTGCCAGTCTAATCAGTGGACTGATGCAACAGTCAGCCACCTTATTCCCAACACCTTTAATCCCAGCATTGCACTATAAATCAACCGCATGCTCTAGATTTAGCCGCCTCCCAAAATATCCTGTGACCACATGGGGCTTTGGGGAGATATCTATTCTTTTTTCTTTTCTTTTCTTTTTTTTTTTTTTTCTACCAGGAATTTGAACTCACAATTTCATTCTTGTCAGGCAGTTGTTGTGCTGTTGGGCTATATCCCCGGCCCTTTAGGGGTCATCTAGATACAAATCATAACAGCTTCTTTTACCTTGCCACTCTATCCAGTCACTGCATTTGCTGCCAGGGTCATCTTCCTAAAAGCATGCCTGATTGTTACTCTACTGTGCTGAAAACTTCTGGTAGCTTCTCATTTAGTGCAGGTGAAATCCAATCTTCTTATTGTGACACATAACACTTTCAATAATGTTTTTTGGCCTACCAAAATGGCTCGTGTCTCTCTCTCTCTCTCTCTCTCTCTCTCTCCCTCTCCCTCTCCCTCTCCCTCTCCCTCTCCCTCTCCTACTCTCTCTCCCTCCCTCTCCCCTCCCCTCCCCTCCAGCCCCTCCCCCTTGTTGCGACAAGATCTCCCCAGGTAATCCAGGCTGGCATTTAACTGACTGTGTAACACAGGCTGGCCCTCAGACCCATAGTGATCTTCCTACCTCAGCCTCCCTAGTGCTGGGACTACACACTTGTACCACCCTGCCTGGCAGTTGTTTTTACCTTTAAGGTTTCCTCCAGCATAAAATTGTTTATTATTGGTAGAATTTCTGATACTAATGCAGTGGTCTCTCATAGGTTTAATCTTGTTCAGCGAACAGCACAAGCTTGCACAGCTCTGGCCTTTAATCTTCGTAGAAAGTCTGAATTCCTTGTGGCATTAGCTGATTATTCTGTTAAATGTTTTGATTCAGGTAAGAAGTCCCTCTTTTCTCTCTTGAAACAGAGTAAAGACTGAAATACTGTAAGAAGTGTATAGATTGGTACGGTGGAGAGAACAGCTCCCATAAGACTGTCCTCTCTCAGACAGCCCCAAGCTCACCTCGGCTTGGCTGCTTACCAATTCAGGGTTCTCCAGCTACCCTCAGGTCCAGTAATTCACTAGAATGACTCACAGAACTTAGCAAAGGATTGTACTTGTGATTACAATCTTAATAGAGCACAAGGACACAAATTAAAGCCAGCAAAGGAAAAGATGCACAGGGTAGAATCTAGGAAGTTTCCTTTGTCCTCAAGATTATGTTATATCAACGTGCAGCAGTACACTCGGTACACCAAGTACTGCTGACCCAGAGAGTTCATCACAGTTTCTGTGTTGAGAGGTATATAGCGGGTCCATTACATACACACAGTTGATTAAATTATTGCCTGTGTGTTTAAATTGTTTCCGGCCTTACCTCTCTCCCAAGAGATTAGGGTGGTAATATCTACTAATTGCATGGATGGTTTTCCTGTCATTGCCAGCTCCCACTCTGAGGCTTCATAACATATCTCTGTGTGGTCTCAGGGACTCATCATGAATAACATGGATACTCTTATCACGTGGGAGGTAACCTCTAGGAGTCTGGACAAAAGTCAGACCTCTTTTGGAAGGGAGATTCTTTGCTATACAAGGTAGATTTTAAAACTATGTATGTAAAACCTATGGGGTTGGGGCTGTAGCTCAGTGGTGAGTGCTTGCCTGCTGTCTGTGAGGCCATGGGTTCAGTCCTCAGCACTGTGTACTTGCACATGCAAAATTCATACCTGTGTATGTTATACCACATATTTTTGAATTCAAATTGTAGAGCTTCTTCTTTTTACCATAAAAACAAGAGAGATTTCTAATGTATTTTTTCTTATTAAAGTAATTGGTGTTATAATAATTAAAGAGATACATAAAAAAAAATAACAATAATAGTGATAGTGATGTGGGTGTATCCCAGCACTCTGGGAGTCGGAGGCAGGAGTTTGATCCAGATTAGGCAATTTAGTAACTTGGTAAGACCTTGTCTCAAAATAAAAACATAAGTAAAGGAGTTGGGTTGAAGCTGAATGGGAAAGCCATGGGTTCAATTCCCATTATCTTAAAATAAACAGACAGACAACAAACATTTAGCATGTTCTTTGCTGGAAACTATTGTATGCCTTTATACATATTAATTGATTTTACTCATAATACCCCACCAAGATAGATACTATTAATACTTGTTTATGAAAAGACTGAGGCACAGAGGTTAACTTAACCAAGTCTCTACAGTTGTAAGCCGTGGAATGAGAATTCCCACCTAGACTCCCCCCTTTTAATAACTGTCCTGTGCTCTGTATACACAAGAAGAAAAAGCAGTCATCCTTTAATAATGCCCAGAGAATATGACAGGGCTCTGTTCTGCTCTGTTTTCTGTGAATGTACTTTTAAGTAATCTAATAAATATATAGTTATCCCTATCTAAATTGTTGTTTTTGGGGTTTTTTTTTATCGGTACCAGGGATCGAACTCATGACCACACGCTTGCAATGCAGGCGCTTATGCCGCTGAGCTAAATATCCAGCCCCCTATCTAAATTGTTTTATAGAATCATTTACCTCCTAAAATTCATATAGTTTAGCGTAGAGAAATATGTAACATTCTACCATGTAGATGCTTATAGTACCACACTTACTTTATCTGTTGCCTGTTGGACTTCTAAACTTGTTTTCAGTTTTTGGTATTAAAAATACTACTCTGACAAAAATTCTAAAGGTATCTTTATACTCAATTATGACTGCTTTTCTTAGGTTACACTATTTCTTGCTTTCTTTTTTCTTCTGTTTCACTAACCTTTTTCCCAGTAACCCTCCTTGCTTAGATGCTGTTTCCACCTTCCTACTCAGTTTGCCTTTTCCTTTCCCTTCCCTACCAACTCTTGCTTCCTCACTGTATTCCCTGATGGGTTCTGATTGCACTGAGACTTCTGTCTTCGTTGTCATTAGTAATCTCTGTTTAAATTCTGTATCTGTCGTCTTCTTTTCAGTAGCATTTAACACTTCGTATTACTCAATAAGCCTTTAGTTTTCATTCTGTGACCTCTGTTGGTTCTCCTTTCTGATTGATTAACAGTCTCTCCTGGATTCTTTGAGTGATTCCTAGACATTTGGATTTTCAGTACAACTAAAATACAGTAATTCACTTACTGCGTCAGTTTTAAATTTTGTTAATTGACATTGGGAAAAACAATATAATTTTATTTCTTAAAACAAGGAATTTTTTCTCTTGTTTTAAGAAATAAAGTTGGAGAAGTGTATGCTAAAGAGTAGTGCTTTAAATTTAGCTTCATGAAAAATTCACTACACTGTCCTTATTTTTCTCATTTCTCTGAAGACCAATGAAAAATTGATGCCAGTCTTTTGACTGCTGTTTGGAAACCACTATTGAAACTGCTAAGAAACTTAACCCTGTATGTTCAGTTTTAACTTTTGCATTGTAATGTTTCCTAGGCTTATATCTAATTTTCTGACTATTCTTGTTTCAGTCCTTCTGGGGAAAGAATTCTGATTATATAAGTAAAATATATGTTCTGTAGAAAATTTGGAAATACACAGAAAATTGCACTATGAGGATAAAATAAGTCATTTGTAATTTTATTACCTAATGTTTAATTATTAGGCACACTTTTTTCTCTACTCACACAGATGTACCTCCCAAAATCAATTTTTAAAATTGAATTTGTTATCTTTTTTCTATATTGCTCAATCTGTTCCTCTTCACTCCTCTTCAGTGTTACTACCTGCTTATATAACTACACTAGAACCCCTGACATTTTAACACTTTATTTATCTCAGTACGTTGATTTGATTGGTAAGACCTCTCACATTTTTTAACAGCTTTTGAATTTGTTCTTTTCTTCATTGTCCCTGCTTAGTTTAAGCCTTCGTTTCCTATCTGTATTATTACAGCAACATGTAAATGAGTCTTCTTGTTTAATCTGTTTCACTCTTTAATATATTCACCAGGCATGTTACTTTTGTACTTAAAATTTCTACTCACAAGAGAATACCAAGACCCCCCAACGTCCCATGTGAGGCTCTTTGTAAACTCTTTATAGACCTCATCTCCTGAGACTGCCATGATACGTGTTTTTAACATGTCCCATAGTAGATGTTAATGAAAATGCCTCATGATACTATATTTTAGTCACATTTCCCTTGCTGGGACACGTTATAACTGACATCCACAATTTAAAAAACAAAAGGCTTAATCTGGTTAATGGTTTGTGGGGATTCATTTCATGGCCAACTGGCCCCAAGACAGGAACAGCATGGTAGGAGGGTGTAAACGGAGCAGGGTACTTCATTGATGGTGCCCAGGAGACAGAGCAGGGAAACAATGCTAGAGAGGAAAAGGTGTAGGGCCAGATGCATCCTTGACCTCCTCCAGGAGCACCCTGGACTGTGTCCCACTAGTCCCCTGTGTGGCTCCCACAGCCAAGCTTAACTGTTACAGATGCTTAGCCATCAGCTACTCTCTTAACATACAGTGTTTATGTACAGTGTATGTATAGATGAGAGGTGTTTTAGTTGTGTAACAGTTTCGCTTTTACCACAGTTACCAAGGAGCTGGTCAGCTGGATGAGGGGACATGAATCATCAGTATTCTCAATATCTGTGCATGCATCAGGGAGATACGCCATCACTACTTCTTCTGATACAGCACAGCTGTGGGACTTGGATACCTTTCAGAGAAAAAGAAAACTGAATATTCGCCAGTCTGTGGGTATACAGAAGGTGAGTGATAAGGATTTCTTGGCTTGTTGGGCTTCTCAGGCTCGTAACCTGGTCAGCAGGATTTAGAAATGATAGAGTAATGATTTATTTAGTTCTTTATTGCTGTATTTTCATAACTCAGTAACAGGCAAAGTAAAGGGTGGACATGATTAATGGTATTGCCTGGGACTGCAGTTTATAACTTACTGAGCTTTTTTTCTATTTTTCTTTCTTATTCTGATAGCTATAAAACCTTAATTCTCACAAGGTGATAGTTTTTATAATTTTAACACAATTTTGATAGGAACAATTTCAAACATACAATAGATTTGTAAGAGTTTCATGGTGAACACGTTTATCTGCCTTCTAGTCTGTCAGTAACACGTTACTGCACTGTCCATTACCTTCTTGGCAATGGGAACCAGTTGTTTCTCCCTCCGCAGGGAGGCTGGGGGGGGATGTCCCTCTGTGGACAGTTGACAGACCACTGTTAGAATCCCATGCCTGCTGACGTGGCAGGAGGTAGGGTCAGTTGGTAGTGCTTCCAGAGGCAGGGGAGCAGCTTCATACAGGTGGCGCTTCCTTTGCTTGCCCACCACTCGCCTCCTGTCATGCTGCCTTGTCCATAACAGGCTCAGACCAGTACCAGTCTATGGTCTCAGGGCTGTACATGTTATGGTACTGTGTTACGGATCGACCCATTCTTTCCCTTTGGTTATTTTTTTGTGTATGATGTGTGTGTTTTAAATTGCACGCTCAGCGGCATAAGCACCTGCCTTGCAAGCAGGCAGTCGTGAGTTCGATCCCCGGTACCGATAAAAATGAAAAAGAAAAAAAAAAATTGCATACATCAGTGTACTTCACTGTAAATATTTATGCCTACATTTAATTGACTGGTTTACTGGTACTTGTTTATGTAGGATTTATATATAATGAAATGCATGTTTTGAGTATTCACTTAAATTCAGCACATGCATATACCTGTGCAGACCTTAGCTGTCACCCCAGAAACTGCCATCATGTCCCTTGCTGAGCAAGCACTACTCCTGATGTTTTTTACCATAGATTGGTTTTGCCTAGTCTAAAACTTCATGTAAATTGAAATATTTAAAATTTTTTTGTGCTGTTTCCCCACACCAAAGTCCAGATCCTGAACACATTGCTAAGAGTCCATTCATCTGGTTAGACTTTCTTCCTTTAGGACATCTGCAGGCTACAGGCTTTAGGAGGAGGACAGTTGCGAGACCTTCAAGGCACAAAATGGAGGCAGTGCATTTTGAGGATGTGACTGTGAGTTTCACCACGGAGGAATGGGCATTGCTGAATTCCTCCCAAAAGAAGCTTTATCAAGATGTGATGTGGGAAAACTTTAGGAACATGGTGACTGTAGGAAAAAATTGGGATGAACAGCAAATTGAACATGAGTACAAAGAATACAGGAGAAATATAGGAAGAGAAGAAGTAAAGAAATGCGTACGAGATAAATTACAGTGTCCACATGAAGAAATGAGATTTTGGATTCCATATATCAATATGAACATGAAATCAGTCAGTACAAAACCAAATGAACAATTTGTTTCCAGAAAGTGCGTAATTAGTAAATTATTGCCAGAAGTTCCCGTCATAGCTAACACTAAACTCAAATCATGTGAGTATGAGGGATCTGAAGATGGGAAAACCTGTACTGACATCCACTGCTTTCACATGCATGCAAACAACAACCCTGGAGAGAAGCTCTGGGAATATAATGAAAGTTTAAAATGCTACTCTGAGCGTGCTGAAGGAAACAACACTAAAGAGAAGTTCTTTCTCTTTGAGCAAGATGTGAAAGCCTTCAATGAAGCCAACTGTGTTCAAATAGGGGAAAGAAATCACAGTGAAGTGAATTCCTTTGTTTGTATACAATATGAAAAAGGTTTTAGTTCTCAGCATGATACTCATATACATGAAATAACTAACACTGTAGAAAATCACTACGTGAGTAGAGAGTGTGTGTTAGTACTCAGTAATAACATTTCATTTTGGAAATGCAAAAAAATTCCCAATTTTAAGAAACTATATGTATGTAAGCAATGTATGAAAGGCTTCACTACACACAGTGATTGTAAAAGACATGAAAGAACTCACTCTGGGGAGAAACCCTATGTATGTAACCAGTGTGGGAAAGCTTTCGACAGAAATAGTGATTGTAAAAGTCATGAAAGAACTCACACTGGGGAGAAACCTTATGTATGTAACCAGTGTGGGAAAGCTTTCAGTGCACACAAGGATTGTAAAACACATGAAAGAATTCACACTGGAGAGAAACCGTATGTATGTGACCAATGTGGAAAAGCATTTAAATCCCAAAGTGAATATAAAATACATCAAAGAACTCACACTGGAGAGAAACCCTATGTATGTAATCAATGTGAGAAAGCCTTTACCACACACAGTCAGTGTAAAAGACATGAAAGAGCTCACTCTGGGGAGAAACCCTATGTATGTAACCAATGTGGAAAAACATTTAAATCCCAAAGTGGGTGTAAAATACATCAAAGAACTCACACTGGAGAGAGACCATATGTATGTGAGCAATGTGGCAAAGCCTTTAAGTCCCAAAGTGAATGCAAAATACATCAAAGAATTCACACCAGAGAGAAACCATATGTATGTGACCAATGTGGAAAAGCATTTAAATCCCAAAGTGGGTGTAAAATACATCAAAGAACTCACACTGGAGAGAAACCGTATGTATGTGACCAATGTGGGAAGGCCTTCATCTCACACAGTCAGTGTAAAAGACATGAAAGAGCTCACTCTGGGGAGAAACCCTATGTATGTAAGCACTGTGGGACAGCATTTAGCTCACAGACTCATTGTAAGAGACATGAAAGAATTCACATTGGAGAAAACCTTACTATGTAAGGCTGGAAAGCCTTCACCAAACACAGCCATTGTGAAAGACATAAAAGTACAGTGGGTAAAAACCCTGTCTCTGTAAACAATATGGGAAAGTTTTTCAACAGAAACACTGAACCTGAAAGACCTGACTCTGAGGAGAACCCTATGTGTGTAAGCAATGTGGGAAAGCTGTCAGCACCGTCATTTTCAGTCATCAAAGTTCTCTCAGGGTACAAAAGTTAGGTATTTAAATTCTTTGAAAATGTATAAACTGTACACATGTAGTTTATGAAAGAACAATGGGCAAAAGCCTTCCGTGTCTAGTAACTTTCACAGTCTTGAAAATGTAAAGGAAATTATTTATACATAATTAAGATAATTTACGCAAAGATTAAAAGACAAATCTTTGTAAGAAATTGAAAGAATCTTTTAATACATAGAGATATCACTACATTAATGAAGAGAATGAGCATCTGTGAACAGTGAGGGGAAGATTTTATGTTTCTCAAAGCATTCACATATGGTGAAAGAATTCTCGGGAGTAAAGCCGTATGTATGTACTTAATGTGGCAAACCCTTGAATTTTTCCGCTCTGAAATAGATGAAGAAATTTATACTGAAGAAAAACCCTATGTGGATAATTGGGGAAAGCATTTTGTGACTTTCGTGTTAGAAAACACGTACACACACAGAGGGAGCGTATAAATGGAGGGTCTGCATTGTCCTCATTCTCACGTGACTTTTCACGCATACATGGCAACTCATAGTGGAGAAGTACGTGTCAATGTGTGTTTGGGGGTATCTCTAGTCCTCTTGCTTTCTTTTGTATTTCAAGTGAACACAGTTCTGTAACTTTTAAAAAGGGGATGCACACATCTTCATTCATCATACAAAGAGTACTGCGTATTGGATTAACTTCCTGTGAATGTACAGTGTTCTGTTACACCTCAGAGTGTGAAATCCTTTAAACATTTCTCATGTAGTACAAATATGTACAAGTAAAGGAAAAATGGGATATCTAGTATTTTCTATTAAACACAGAAATAGAGGAGATATCCTGAATTATAAACACAGAAACTCATTTTTGAAGTAAATGTCTGGTATAGATATTTGTAAGCTGCCTTTTGAGTACATACATTGTACTAACTAATGTATATGTAATTGTAAGGAGTAATGAGTGAGTTTAGTATTGGCTTTATTCAAATCAAGTCATAATTCTGTATGTGATATATTTACAGGCGAGTTTATATATGTTACTTATATAATAGGAGACTTAGAAGTTTTACAGTTCTTTTTGTTTTCAGTAATTGTGGGGTAATATGAGCCCAAAACTGAACTTTCGCTAAATTTTTCTCATTTTGGACTACATTCCATGTAAGTGGTTTGAACACATCAGTCCATTTTTCTACAAGAATTTTGATATTGAAATGATTTATGATTATAATGTATATTTTATATTTTCTACATGTTCAGTTGTTTTCAGCCAACTTATAGGTTATCACATATGTTTCCATGTTTGAAGATGATATCTTTGTATTTTCCAACATAATTACAGGTAATACACAGTTTAAAAGTTTTTTGTACGATTTTTTTTACTCAGCATGGTTTTGAAATTTATCTATGTTATGTATACATCAGCAGTTTGTTCCTTTTTATTGCTCATTAATATTCTATTATATAAATACATCTTTTTAAAAATACCCATTTCTCTTGCTTTTAAGAATTTTTTTCCTAGTTGATTATCTATTTTCAGGCATATCTTAATCTCCCGTAGGATTAATTACTTTGCTTCAGACTGTATTATACATGTATTATTTTTAATTTCCTGGTTATTAATATGAACAGCTAGTAATGCATGTCAACCCAAAATTTATTTTGTCATTTCCCTTGAAATCCCAGAGTTCTTTGGTGTACCTTTAATAATTAAAAAGAGATAAAAGTTGTAGCCAATTTATTCTTAGGGATTTACTCTTAGTAGGTCTTTTCCTTTAATTTCTTTAGCTCTTACATTGAATTTTAAGTTCCAAAGAACAGAGCATTGGGAGTTTAAATCACAATGGAAACAAGAGTTATGGCACAAAAACCATCTGTTCTTTTTACCATGAAATTAAAATTGTATATACTGGGTAGTTGCCAAT